AGGCTTTGGGGGACATTTTAAAATTTCTTCAGGTGTTCTTTGTCATGGATGTATCTTATTTCTCCATCAATTTTGAAAGATAATTTTTTGGGGTACATCAATCTGGGTTAGGGGTTGTTTTCTTTTGGGGCTTGAAATACCTCACTCCAAGCTCTCCTTGATTTAAGGGTTTGCATTGAGAAGTCTGCTGTGATTCTGATGTGCTTTCCTTTGTAGGTGATTTGTTTCTTTTCTCTAACAGCCTGTAGGATTTTGTTCTTCTGTTGGGTTTCTGGAATCTTGACTATTACATGCCTTGGGGAAGATTTTTTTTTGATCATGGCTAATTTGAGTCCTATATGTTTCACTTATCTGTATGTAAAATTCTTTTTCCATGCTTGGGAAGTTTTCTTTTTTTTTTTAGTACCAGGGATTGAACTCAGGGCCTCAAGCTTACCAGGCAGGTGCTGTGCCGCTGAGCTACATCCCCCTCTACTTGGGAAGTTTTCTGCCATTACTTCTGTGAGCAGGTTTTTCACATTGCTTGCACTAACTCCTGCTTTTTCATCAACTCTGATCAATCTTACGTTATTATTTGCATCATCTAGCATCTGTTGGATTGATTTTTCATGGTTCTTTGCTATTTTAAAGAAATCTTTTTTCTCATGTTTGCTAACTGCAAACTTGTCTTCTAGATCTGATATTCTGTCCTCACATAGGTTCTTTTTGCTGTGTATACTTTCAAAAGAATTTTTAAACTCCTGGATATCTGTTTGAGTCTGTTTCTTGGATTCCATTTCTTTATGCTGGGCATTCATGGTTTCCATCATTTTCCTAAGCTCCTTTATTTTAAATATTTGTATCTACTCTAGATTCACTATGTTCTTCATTATGGTCATCATCTCTTTAGTTATCTGAGAAATTATTTCTATTTTGAATTTTTCTAGAGTCTCATTCATATGCTTTGTTACTTCCACTGTTACCATTTCAGAGAGCACAGGTGGGTGGCTTTTAAATTGTTTCACCTCATTGCCCTCTGGGCTTGCCTTTGGTGAGCTGGAAGTTTGGGGTTACATCTTGCTGCCATGTCTTCTCATTTTTAATTTCTTTTAGTTTAGCTTCTGCATAGATGCTTGTAAATTGCTTATGGTAAATAGCTTTATTGTTAGTATCGAGAACCTTAAGTACTGACTATTTTTCAGAGATATCTTCTAGGTGTAGCTGACTTTTGGCTTTTGAGTCTGTTGCAAGAGCCTACCCCCTTTTTTTTTCTTTTTCTTTTTGGTACTGGGTATCAAACTCGGGTCCTTGCACTTGTGGGGCAGGCAGTGGAGCCACTGAGCTAAATCCCCAGCCCCAGGAGAGCCTACCTCTTAAATTTATTGAGAATGATAAGTTGCTGCCTATTTGACCTAGCCCATTGTTCTTTGGTATGGCCTATAGTATTGTTTATGACCCTCAGACAATCTCAGTCTTGGTATACAAGGAAGAATAACTGATTGGAGCAATTATGTCACCTTGGCTAAAGTAGTATAATTAGTAATAACAATAGCATTGAACACAGCCTAGAAATAACAAACTGTGGTAACTATTAATTTGCCAACTTTAACCATATGGACAAGATTTGTAGCTATATAACAAAATCTAAAACAAACCAGAAAATTGTATACAGTAAATATCTCTTCAATATGGTAATTTTACCCTCAGGAGAAAGAATTTAAAAGGCATTAGGGGAAAAAATAGAGAAATAGAAGAGAAAGTAATTAGAAGAAAGGCTGAAGGACAAAGGGAGATTATGCAAGCTTTGGAAATCTGGTGAAGAAAACAGCAGGGAAAGAAATAAGGAAAAAACAGAAACAAGAACAGAATAAAACATCAACAACAAAAAACTAGAAACGATGTTCACACTCATATAAAAATAAGAGGGGCCGAGGATTTAGCTCAGTGTTTCCAGCGCCTACCTTGCAAGCACAAGGTCCCGAGTTTGATCCCCGGTACCAAAAAAAAAAAATTTCTCTCATATAAAAATAAGAACAAATAATTACGAAAAAGAAAAAAGTAAAGAAAGAAGGGGAAAAGAATGTTCACTTCAATGTCTGCTGTCATTGATAGACAAAAGGGGCAGACAGAGCCCAGATCCCTGTTGGTAGATCACACCACATTTGCATAGAATTATATAGCAGGGTAGTGGATAATCTCAGCAAGCCTGTACTTTCGGCTCCACTGAAGTTCAGCCTGCTTCTGATTTCTGGCTGTGATGCTGGGACCTGAGTTGTTCACCTCACAACACTCCAGGTGCCTCCTGCCAGCCTGAACTTGGCTCTTGGGCCCAGGATGTCTCCCATGGCTGTACCTCATCCTGACCCCGGGAGCCCCAAGTTGGAGCCAACCCACTGCTGGTCTGAGTCTTGAGTTCAGTTGGCCCCTTTACAAAATGGTGACTGGCTAATCCCCCCTCATGGGGACACCTGAACCAGTCTAGAATGACTCACCATCCTCTGCAGTCCACAGTATCCACTGCTCTGTTCCACTGGTGCACTACTCTGTAGAGGTCTTTGGAGTCACCAGTAGTCACCATGCCTCTGCTGGTTTGAACTGCCCCTCCTACACTGTGAGCCAGGACTCAAGGAGAAAGCGGTGCTGCTTGCTACCTCCCTCTTCCGCACTGAGGTCCCTTTGCCCTCCCTGTTGGCTCCAATTCTTGCCTCAGATCCTTGCTGGGTCCTGGGAACCCATTTTCCTCTTTTCTTCTCTTCTCCATGTTGCTGGACTCTGAATCTCAGAGAGGCTCATTTGCCACTGCTCACCACTCTGCCATCTTCCCAGAAGTCCTGGCTGACATTTTAGATATAAAACATAATAGGCAGGGAGTGTACGGTAGACCAAATGACTCAATTTATGGCAGGAAGCAAAGAGAGAGGAAGGGACCAAAGTTCCACAATCTCTTTCAAGGGCATGGCCTTAATGACGTAGGACCTCTCACTAGGAACCATCTCTCAAAGGTTCCATCACCTCCCAATAGTGCCACTCTGGGCATCAAGCTTTTAAAAACATGGGCATTTGTGTGTGTGTTCATGTTGGGGGGTATTCAAGATCCAAATCATGGAACTATGCTTTTATCTTCTTACTGAAGTGTGTGTTCAAATCATTTGCTATTTTAAAAATTGGATCATGTATTATATCATAAGAATTGACTTTTGAGAGTTTAAAAAATATATTCTGGATATAAACTCTTTCTTTTTTATTTTTGGTACTGGGGATTGAACTCAGGACCTTGTGCTTGCGAGGCAGGCACTAGAACCATTGAGCTAAATCCCCGGCCCCTGGATATAAGCTCTTTATCAGATATGTGCTTTGCAAAGAACATGTCAGTATGTACTAGAAGAAGCCAAAATAGTAGTAACAGATAGTGACAGAATTAGGTTCTGAGAGAATTTAAACATGGGAAATAGAACATAAAATTAGACAAGAGGAAATTAGATAAACTTATTGACTAGGGTCCTGAGGAGACCCCAAGAGATAGTATATATCCATACTAGGATGGGTCTACAAAACATAATGTAGAAAAATTCATTGCCCAAAGTGAGTAAGATTGCTAGCAAAGAGGATGATAAAACTCCGAAACAAGGCAAGATGGCACCACTTAACTATCTGATGACAGTGGCACAATTAGTATAATGAGCAGTAAGGAGTGCAGAGAAGGGTAGGGAACAATGGGTTTTGGAGCCTGCCTCCCACCCCATCTTCGCCTAAGTACTGAGTGTTTGTTTTTTTTCTTTTGGCAGTACTGGGGATTGAACCTGAGCTATATTTCCAGCCTATTTTATTTTTATTTTTTATTTTGAGACAAGTCTGGCTAGGTTGTAAAGTTGCTCAGGCCAGGCTTGATTTTTGATCCTCCAGGCTCACCTCCCTGGGTGTTGGGATTACAGGTGCACACCACCATGCCTGGCAAATAGGCTTCTTGAGTCTCTTAGCTCCTCCTTTGACTGGAGAATGGAAAACCATTGGGTTTCCAGCTCCTGATCTCTGTGTTTTGGGTATGTGTTTGATTTTGATTTTGACTGCTGGTTTGAATGCTCTTTTGGTTCTATTTTTTTGCTGGCTTTGTTTTAATCATTGTCTTGTGCAAAACTTTCAACCCTTTTTTCAATTCCTTTCAGAAACCTCCACCAGTTATATGGTTTGTAACTATGGGAACAACTCAGTTAATCACTCCCCCAAACAACAGACTTTTACTAAAGACAGCTTAGAATTCCTCTTTGGGAGATTTCCCTTTGGCCCCTTTTGGGTATTTGAGATTTCCTTAAACTTTGCCCAGTGAGGAGGTGCCTTGAATCTTGGGGCCTAAGATCTCTTCACACTAGTGATCAGCTTACAGTACTTTGCTTGGTAAGAGGGAGCTATAAAATAAGAAAATAACCCTGTGGTTCTTGAATGTATTAGTCGTCTTCTGGCTACCCAGAAACAGGTAGGCTGAGAGCACACGGAGATAGGTCTTTTGGAATTCTTCATGCTGCATGTGTTTGCAAGCCAGTACCACATGTAGCCATAGTATTCCTCCAACATCTTGTGATGGGGTCACATTTCCCTCTGTTTAGGTATGTCAGTCTGGTTTTGAAGTTTTCTTAAGACACCTAAATGGGTTCTTTAATTCCCACAAGGCTCTGTAAGCACATCATCTTTCCTGGAGTAACTGTGCCCTCTTCATACTCTCCTCTGGACATAGCAAGGCTCAGGGTATGACCCCACAGAATGGGGCTCCAGCCAGTAAGAGACAAAAATATATAAAACCCATTTCATGCAGAGATGGTCATCATTTTGTTTTCCAAAAAACCTTAAGGAAAATCTTTTACAGAAATAAATTTTCTATGTGTTCAAAATGGAATGGTAAGAACAATGACAAAAATTTGAATCATATTGGTAATGCTTTAGTAACTTATCTAGTTTATATATTCAACATTTAAATAATTGTTTTATGATTTATTTAATAAAATTAGAACATAAAAGAGAATTTTGGATTATCATTTGCTATCTAGACTTTCATCTGTAAGCCAGTTTAAGTGACAGGGTTATTTGACACAGCTGATTTTTTTCTTCTAATCCATCTTTGGAATGCCCTCCATGGGTGGATGTTATGCAGTTGAAGCATAAATGCTGCAAAAATCAATCCCCCTAGCACAAAGGCTGCTGCAACAGCAATAAGTGTATGTCCTGGAAATGGCAATGGTACTTCATCAACATAAATCTGCAATAGAAAAAGCAAAGTCTTTAAGCTTTCTGAAACTAGTAATGCAAACACATGGGACATTATATGATTCCCACAACTAATCACCTAATTCTGGTGAGAGTTATACAGAGATTCAGTATCTATCAGGCATCCACACTACCATTCTCCAGAATATCTTTTCACTGAGCCTTACCCATAACATGAATTTTGCTCAGTTTCTCTCTTTGGTGCCTTCTGGATTGGCACTTGTGTTGTTTCCTCATTCATCACCCCATTTGATACCTTATGCATTCACTGAAATTACCTGAAATTCTTCAACTAAGTTACAAAAAGTGACCCCTGGGATGATGGACACTCTGAAGTGAAAAAGCTCAGAGCCCTGTGGGAAAAAAACATACCTGTCAATAGCAGCATCAACATGCATATTTCCTGCAAGTGAAAATACACTGAGGCCACTTTCCCTATGAATGCTGCATAGAAATATTCCTATCCTCTTCCTAAGGCTCTTGGACATATGTATCATGTATCAAAAAGAGAGACTGAAGAAAAGGAATTCAATAATAGTTTTTTTTTTAAATAAAGAAGAAACAAAGGGCTGGTGATAAGCAAAGGGCTGAAGGAAAAGTTCAGCCTGAAGAAAAGTGGTCAAAAGCCAGGGATTTAGCGCAGTGGTTCTGCCGCTTGCCTCGCAAGTGCAAGGACCCAAGTTCGATCCCCAGTACCAAAAAAAAAGAAGAAACAAAAACATAAAACCTCACTTGGCCTTGATGAGTATTTTGGGCTAACCCTCAATATTTGTATTTCTGATATACCCCCTAATTTTAATGGTTTACACAATTACCTGGATTATAATCACTTCAAGTGTTTTTGTGGACAGCTGGTACTAGAAGACATAACCCATATATATCTCCATGAAGAATACTGAGCCCATTTATTTCCCCTAAGTTATAGAAATACCCTTTCTGTTCCACTTTAGATAATCTCTCTTGTCTATCAGTTTAAAAAATAGTAAGTTAATGTTAAATTTAACTTTACATTGCTTTAGAAGTAATAATATGAAGGGAAATGGAGGAAAAGCAAACACTCTCCATATACTTTATTGTTATTTATTTGTTGGTGCTGGGATTGAACCCATTCTCATGCATGCTAAGCACACTCCACGTGGAACTACAACCACTAGCCAGCCCTCTCCATATACCTGAAAGTTGCTATTCCCCTACTCATGGATATCTATACTATAAAATTAACATCATAGTTTAGATATATATGTTTTATCTAAACCTAGCACAATAAATAGTTCTACCAACTTACCTTTATACTTAAATTGAGACCTGAGGGATTATACACTGAAGTATGAAGAATTGGTTCTAAGTAATTTTTAATTTTTTTCATATTTTCTGGTATAGTGTGTTCTAAAAAGACAAAATATATTTGAAGCACACACAAATCATGTTCTCATTCTGCATAAAGTTTGTGACATACATTAAGGTACAGTGAAAGATTCTACTCTAGAACATGACTAAGTTATCTCATGCTTTTAGTTCTACTTGGCTTTGTAGAAGATATCTTTAGGGGAAATAAAGCCCAATATCTCACATTGGCTTCAATGACATCCTTGGGATGGACAAGGCTTTTGACCACTTTTCTTTTTTTTTTTTTTGGTACCAGGGATCAAACTCGGGTCCTTGTGCTTGCAAGGCAGGCGGCGGAACCACTGAGCTCAATCCCTGGCTCTTGACCACTTTTCTTCAGGCTGAACTTTTCCTTCAGCCCTTTGCTTATCACCAGTTCTCACGTGAACAATCTTTGTGTTTTTGGCAATGAGATCATCTCACAACCTCCTTGGTGATGAGTAAAGGATTTTTAACAAGGTAGAAGTAAAGTTTCACATTAGGGTCACTTAAGTCTTTTTTCAAAAGAAGTGATTCATGATCCTTGCCTTTTTTTGACATTTTTTCTAGGTAGTACAGGAGTTAGAAATTCAAAATTCCAGTGGTATAACTGTATTTGGGATCCAAAGGTAAAACATAAGTTTTGCTTATAGCCTTAGCCAATATCCATAGTGTAAATATTCTCACCATGGCTAATTTCAGACTATCAATGGCTTACCACCAGTTTGAAAGATGTTTAAATATTTAACAATTAGTACTGGAAATCTAGTAAGAGCAAGCCTCCAACATACAACAGAAAATTATCAGGATATTAATTAAAGCAATATATTTAGTAGTTTTACTTTACAGAATTTTTAATTTTCTAAAGTAAATAAATAAATATGGGCAGAATAAGAGTCACTGAATTCCAAATGTCTGTATATTTAGTCATATATTAATGATTGATAAAATTTCTATTTCTATTTCTCTCTAGTTTTCTCTCCTCAAAATATTCACACGTACAAAAAATATGCAATACAAAGTTGTATATTCAAGATAAAATTGAATAAAGGTAAATTTCCTTTTTCTTATTTAAATATATTTCTGCATCTTTTCAATTATTTTACCATAAAAACTCTAAGAATTTTTTATTCATATAATTAGAAATAGAATCCTAAAATAAAATTTAAAAAATTAGAAGTCAGATCCTATAGATTACCTGGCAACATCTTTATAACCTCCTGTGCCACACTGAATAAATGAGAAGCTGGGCCTGGTGGTGCATACCTGGAATCCCAGCTACATGGAAGGCTGAGGAGGAGGATCATAAGTTCAAGGGTAGTTTAGGCAATTTATCTCTCTCTTTTCCTCTCTCTCTCCCTCTCTCTCTTCTTCTTTTTTCTTTTTCTTTTTTGGTACTGGGCATTGAACTCAGGACCTTGCACTTGCAAGGCAGGCATAGTGCCACTGAGCTAAATCCCCAGCCCCACCCCCTCTTCTGAGCTAAATCCCCAGAACTTGTCTCAAAATCAACATATAAAATGTCTGGAAATGTAGCTCAAAGGACACTGCAACAAAGTGAGACCCCCAGGCCTACATCTAGCACAAATTCAATCAATTATTAGTAATCTACAAAATGACTTTCATATTTTTTGCAGTTCAAGTTCTTAAAATATTTTTAAGCTATAGAATCCAGGTCACTGGCAATGATGAGGACTTAAATGGGAGACAACAGAAGTAAACAGCCATGTGGCAATGGATTGGAACCCTTTTCCAAACAACTCCTGCTATCTCTTGTGTAAACAGGCCATGTAAACCACTGATCTTTGTAAATAAGTGCTAATAATATTACTTGTAAGATAAAATAATTATAAAAGACAGCAAACCCTACTTAGTTGCCAGTTTTTCCTCCTATTCACTTCAGTCACAGTAACAAAATACGGAGATTTCACTGGAACAAATTTATTGTCACTGAAAATTTCCAAGGAAATTGGATATTGTGTAACTGGAAACTTAAAACGAGGAACCTAAAATACAAATTCCAAGAGTGATTATCAATTTGGAAAATTCAATGGTAATGTCACTTCCTGGTCAATAATGAATAGACATATTCCCAATAGTTTGCCTATTCTAAATGAAACATGTTTTTTAGGCTTTCTGCCTTTGAGTCATGAAAAAGTCTGCTTACAGCAAAATCCATGGGAATCTCAAGGCATCCACACTGTGGTAATGAAATTCTTGGCTTTTGATTGGCCATTCCACTGGCACTTACCCTCATGTCATTTAAACTTTTTTTCACCCTAAACCATATACCATGAGGCCCTGCATGAATTATGTCTCACTCATGTCCCTTACTATACACTCCCTGCCAGCCACTATCTTTCAGGCTCAGTCGGTAACTCACACTCTGAATTCAATATTCAAATTCAGCTTTAATACCTTTTTTTGTTTTTGTTTTATTACTTTTTTGCTACAGAGTCTCTCAGGCTGTTCAGGCTGGATTTGATCTTACTATGTAGCCCAGGCTGGCCTTGAACTCTTTGTGATCCTTCGGCCTCAACCTCTCAAAGGCTGGGATTACAGGCATGCACCACCACACTTGGCTTCAGTGCCTATTAACAGTTAAATCTTTAGCAAGTTGTCTAGTTTCTCTGTAACTCAAATGAAGTGGAATAAATCATGGAGAATGCTTAAAGGAGTATTGAGCAGATACTGTGATAACAAAGAAATACTATTTTATTTTATGTTTTTTTGGTACCAGGGATTGAACTCAGGACCTTGCACTTGTGAGGCAGGTGGCAGAACCACTGAGCTAAATCCCTGGCCCTGAAATACTATTTTAATTCAGCAAGGGTTTCACTACAACTCTTCATTCAGTTAAGGTTTCACTAAAAACCCTAATCTTTTTTCTTTCTCTTTCTTTCTTCCTTTCTCTGTCTCTCTCTCTTTCTTTTGTTTTTTTGAGACAAGGTTTCACTATGTGATTCAGGCTAGGCTTGAACTCACTGTGTAGCCCAGGCTGGCCCTGAACTCACAGCGATACTTCTGTCTCAGCCTCTCAAGTGCTGGGATTACAGGTTTGCACCAGAGTATCTGGCTATGTGTGTATCTTTATTTCTTTTGGTACCAGGGATGGAACTCGGGTCCTTGTGCTTGCACAGCAGAATGTGTGTATCTTTATAAGGATCCTGTGAAATGCACAATGCAGTGCAGGTATTTTCATTATATTTTACAGGTGAGTTTAGTAAATTCATCTAGGTCCATTTAAATCCAGATCTCTTGAGAAGAAGGGGCCTCCTGGCCACCATTCCACCACTCCCAGCACAGAGGAAGGGGCCTCCCAGCTGCTGTTCCACTGCTCCCAGTGCAGAGGAAGGGGCCTCCCAGCCACCATTCCACCACTCCTAGTGCAGAGGAGGTGAGCCGCAGGGGCGCCAACAGCACCTCCCCCCATCAAAATGAGAAGACACATAAATAAGTCTCAAAACCAGACTTCCAGATCACCTACAGCAACCTCAAAGGGAAATGAGAAGGAACACTCTAATACTCAACCACCTGGACTCCCTGAACTGGCAACAAAAGAGGATCTGGAAAAAATGAAATCAGAAATAATTTCTCAGATAACAGCAGAGATT